TGGATCTTTAGTCTTATCAGAATCACTGGATGAATCACTATCACCATCTTCCCCTTCCTCCTCAGTTTCCTCTTCTGCTTGTTCCTCTTGCTCCTCCTCCTCTTCCTCTGACTTGTCTCCATTAGTTGATGATTTGGGTAGACGTTTCTCCCCAACAATAGATACCAAACAGAACTCTTTACGTTGAATGGATCCATACCAACTATCAGCTTTAAACTCTCCTCCCTTAACGATAGAGAAGTGGTAAGGAAGACTGGGTGTGCTCACGGGAGCTATGGCAAACTTAAGATGATGACTAAGACCTGGTCGTCCTGTTAAATCAACGCAGTGCTGTATTTCTAATATGAGCCGTTTGAGGAGAGGCTTTGAGAGTGATACTGCATACACAGCACTCGCTAGGACAGTATTAGGCGGAAACTGGAACTGCCCTCCTACAAGAGCAACCACTGATGCTTCTACTGTCTCAGAGGACAGTACGCTCTCCTTTTGTACTCCAATCCTTAGACCATATTTCTCCCAATTCATCAGTTGAGGTTTGTCTCCTTGAATTAAGAACAGCTTCCTCTCTGCTACCTGGACATCACTCAGACAATCCAATTTATCTGTCAATTATACAAAATATATACAGTGAGTACACACACAATTGTATGCACTCAGTCAGGGTTTCCCACAAAGCATACTAAGTGAGATAAACAGCATGAGCTGCATGATAGGCACTATACAATAATTCTAAAAATTTATTTCAAAATCCAATCTTGATCGGAATCAGCTCGAAATTGATACACAACATAAGAACATGTATGTGTATCAAAAAATTATAAAAATGGAGAACTCTTGCCTAGCCATTTTTAATAAAATTTGGCTAAGGTATAGCCTTTCGTTGTTGGCCCAATTTTCGAGCAAATTTAAAAATTCATAAAAATTCATAAAAATTCAAACCTGATCAAAATCAGCTCAAAGTTGATACACAATATAAGAACATAATTTGGTGGATTGCTAAATTTTGGTCATTGACAAATTTTAATTTGGCAAATTAGTGGCCGCATGCCATTGAGCATGTGTATAATGGCTCAAAATGGAAGATTTTATTTTGGCGAATGGCTATCAAAATGCCAATTTTGCTAAATTTAATTCCCTCAAAAATTTCCCACTATACGATATGTACATTATAGGAAAAATTATAAAAATCATGAATTCTCTACTTGTAATTTTTGTCAAAATACCCTGTACTACATGTACGTGTACTAAACAAAGTTCTTTCACTTCTTTGGTAATACTCTTACCCATTGAAGGGATCAGGTAATTAAATTGTAGTCCAATAGAACTAGTCACTTTGCTTCTCTCTTGTCTTTCCTTCACTAGTTTGGCTATGTGCAAGTCCTTTTCTTTAAGGTCTATAAATTAATAGAATATTAATAATTATTATTGATTGATGATGATACACTAACCAGTAATGAACAGTTTCTCATTCTGTGATTGTTCCTCTACTCGTGACGTCAGTTTGGCTATAACTTTGTCTTTCTCAGAAATGTCAGTTTTGAGATTTTGATTGTCATCTACACAATAAACATATTCTCTCATCTAATACATGCTGTGTGTATAGTTAACTAACCAATAATGATCTGTTTCTCTTTAAGATATTGTTCCTCCTTCTCTTCTATATCAGCAACCTTGACTTTAAGTCTTTCGTAATCATCTACATCATTAAAAAATTTTCTCATCTAATATTATGCACTAATGATACACTAACCAGTAATAATCTTTTTCTTTTCCTCTACTTGCGTCTTCTCTTCCAATATTTCAGTTATAAATACTTCATTATCGGCAACTTTGAGTTTCAGTTTCTCATTATCCTCTATACATTAATAGAATATTCTCTCATCTAATATTATGTACCGATGATACACTAACCAGTAATAATCTGTTTCTCTTCAATCAGCTTTTCCTGTTCTTGTCTCATCTCTTCTAATACACTCCTCATAATATCATTACTATCATCACCTTTAACTGAATAATAATATAAAAGAAGAGAGTAATCAGTATATGCATAATAACACAACAGAATATACAGATAATATAAACACAACAAAGACTGGTTCAACCAATGTACAAAACATTAGATAATCATATTCAATATTATTTCTAGCTTATACAAATTTGCACTGCATGTACAGTAGCCCATAAATACATGTACTATGATTATTGCTAATCATACCATATATGGTAAGCAGAGATCACTCTACATGAATCTCATTATTTCTAATGCATGGACAATTTGACCTATATTGAGTACAGGATACTATTTCCATACTCAACATTGTCTAATCCACTAGTATCATAATGTAAACCAGTACTAATATACACACTCACACTACCAATAACCACACAATACTACATAATAGTAATCAGTTAGTACAGTTAAAGTGTGTGTGTGTGTGTGTAGTATCCTATATACCTTGTTTATTGGCTTCAACCAGTGCCTCCTGTAGTGATACTTTGCTCTCATGAGCCACTTGTAGGTCTTCATGTAAAGATTGTATATATCTCTGAAGCTTCATTTCCCTCTCTGTCGGATATTCTATTAGCTGATCCATCCACCATGTTCTGGTCTTGCTGTACGATTGATACTTTTCTTGATAGTTCTTACTAGTGAGATCATTACCATCCAGTACTGACTGTACTATCCACTCACCAGCTTCACTATATACTGAGACACAATAAGATACATTATATATTTATAAATAAATGTATTTAATTTATAAACTAATGGTATCATTTATAGTGGTTGTAAATACACACCCACACATACAGTGGTATTGTAGTGTGTACAGTATACAAAATGAATGGAAAATGTATGTCATATTAGGAACTGAAATTTACAAATAATGTACATACTATAAAAATGAGTGGTACATTATTTAATGTAATTATGTATTTAATGCTCATATCCTTACAATTGATTAATATTATCTTACCTAATTCAATTATCATTATTAGTCTATTAGTATCAGTGATAAATGTAGCCATTGCTTGCTCCTTTCCTCCTCCAACATCCTTCATTCTAAATCTTTCAAATCCTCCAACAATTACTAGCCACACACAGTGTGGTGACATTGTGACTGCTGCGAGTGAGTGAGCATATCTACCAGTAACAGATTCAGGTAGAGGAATCTGTAGATAAAGAGAAGTATACAAGTAATTACTGATACATGATGTTTATACAGTTACTTTTAAAATGAGAAATTGTATCATTTCATATGTAGATGATCATTACATTTATTGTAATTGTAAAATTAATTCTAATCCTCACCATCAACAAACAAAATAAACATTCATGTGAATGAACATTAAACATGTACAAATTTAACTCTCAATATTGAGAATAGGAAATGTGTTAATAATACACACAGACATTAAGGTTGGCTCAAAAAATAATGCAATGCGTAATTTTTAATCAAATGTGTGGGTGGTTCTATTGTATTGTTAATGTTTCATCAGTGATAGTGTTATCTACTGAACACACTAACAATTACTAATCTATCATCAATATACATCAGTACTAGTCTCATACTCTCAACTGACCTAACTATACACACACACACATCATTACAGTACTATACACACACATACCTTCCTACAATTGTACTGACCAGTAGTGATACTATCAAATAACAAACATTCAGTAACTAGTTCATTATTCTTATCCAGTCCACCAATCACTACTAGTGTAGGTGAGGTAGAGTCACCATTGATAATAGCACTAGCATGATTGGCTCTCTCCATAGGCCACAGTCCCTCATTAGGTATTGCTCCTGGTTTCAGTATCTCCCAGTTCTAGATACATAAACAAATACTAATAATATCAGTCAGTGTACATATGAATAATGGGTGTGGCTATATAAATAATGTGTGAGACCATAGATATTAAATGAAAGGGATTGGAAACGAAAGCGTGGGCGTAGCCCAACCTCCATTCATTTGTATTGCTGCTAGGCTGACAGAGGCTCGTTGAAATTTTTTGTCACAATTTACCCTTGATTTTTTTTCTCTTAGAAACAATATCTCGCGAACAAGTGTTCCTATACAAGTGGAATTAATGCATCAAGAAGCCTAATGTTTCCTCTTAATAATACTGTTTTCTATTGTATAGATAATTTTACTATGTTAATCTTATGGCTCTTTTAAAACCATAAAATGTATTTTTTGTCATTATAATCCCTTTTTTGAAAACAAGCTTGAGTAAGATACAAGATCTTTATAATCATATGAAAGAGCTTTCATTTGCATATGGAATGATACTAGTTAGAGTTAGAATCCATGAAGCATGAGTTTGTTACAACAGAAAAAGGGTGAAAAATGAAAAAATTTTGTTGTACCTATAACTCGTTGCAAAATAGCGTTGTAGAAGTAAAAACCTTGCTGCAGGTAGTCCTAAACTTTCTATATGGAACGGTAGGTATATCATAAGTAAGCGTCCTCTTGGATTTCCATAAATATCCTTCGAAGTCCTTGCAGTACAGCCTCACTAATGGAGGAGATGGGAAATCAACCAGGTATTGGGCCGGTAACCAATAGCAACATCAACTAGCCTACGCCCCCGTTTCCAATCCCTTTCATTTACTCTAATATCTATGGTGTGACATGTAAAAATTAATCCTAATATTTAATACTTTGATGTTAATGAGGTGAGGTTAGTGGTTGTCATGTCCAGAAATGTGCATAGCACGGATGGACATTTAGCAATAATTGTATTCATCATGCTTTAATTAACCGTTGCTATAGTAACAAGATGGCGGGTAGTTGTAAAGAAGTTGTATCTTATGATAATTTGTTTTTATTCAGAAGTACTGACTTCTAGAAAGTCAAAACAGCACTATTACAATAGAATATGTTGTTAACAGGGTTTGTTGTTCAAGAAAGCGTCTCGAGCAATGACTTTATGGTAGGAATCCAGTACCGCTCAGGAACAGCTCCATAACTGCACTTCTGGGATAGAATGAAGCATAAAACAACCTCATTTTATTCTAAATACTTATTTGTAACCTTCTAAGTGACTTTGTTACTTCTTTTGTCTTA